GGAGGCCGTTTCTTCTTTGACTGGGCAGGCTTCGGGACCACACCAGCAGCAGCCTCGCCTCCCTCGGCTGCGGCACGCCTCGCCGCCTCGGCCGCCTTCGCAGCCAGCTCCTCAGCCGCCTTGGCTATGGCCATTATCGAACGGCGATCCATCACAAAGTCTACACAGGAAAATAAAAAGGTTAGCAAGGTAAAGGAACAAAAACAAAGGAAGAAAGCCGGAGGAAGAATTACCATCGGCTTCAGCAGGAATGCCCAAATCCGGGCCGTCGGCCTCCTCAAAGGTAGTGGTCATCCTCGACCACAGTTGGGCATCGTCCTCCTTGTCACCATACACATAATACCTGAAGAAGCCGAGGGCGGTCATCTTATACTCGGTAATGTAATCTTTCACGCTCCTCGGCCCCCCGTCCATGAACGCCTCCACCTGAGCGTCCAAGATCGAACTCTTCAGCGGGTCGTGCAGATTGAACCTCCCAATATGGCCGAGAGAGGGAAATTCAGTGTCGTTCTCACCAAGGGACACGAAAACAAACTTACTCTTCCAACCATGGATGGACGAAGGCAAGTGCGTGAAGCTCCTCTTCTTCGGCAATTGTTGGAGGGTAGCATAGGCCGCACAGTTCTTGTGGCTTCCTCGGCCAATCTGGTAGAGGTTCATGAAGAGAGCTGTCGTCGGCTTGTAGCCCAACTCTTCACAGCGCAGCAAGAATCCCACCATCAACGAGTAGCTGTTCGGGGTCAGCAAGGCCGGAGGAAGTCCCACCATGTCCAAATATTTCGTGATGAAGGGATGAAGGGGAAATCTCAGCCCCTTGGCGAAGCTCATCGGGTACACTCCGAAGTATCCCGGCGGCGGATTAAGTACATGGTCCGTCGGCCTAGGTGCCCTAACTCTCCCGAACGGCCCCACATACATCTGCGCGACTAGGTAATCAGCCGCGTTGCTCTCCGGCTTGATAAGGTAGATGTTCGTGAGATCCAGGTGGGAGTACCCTGGCCCACTCCCCGGCCTCCTTATCCTCTTCGGCCTCTCTGCTCCCTTCACGGCGGACACCGGCTTCGGGCACGGAATAGCAGTGGAAGTGGACGCCCCGTCCACCACTCGGGACGCACCTGCGTCCTCACCTTTCGAAGACGAGGCAGACTCCTCGTCCTCACCCTCATCGTCCTCCGGCTCTCCGGACTTATAGGGGCTCAGATGCTCTATTTCCTCCTCAAACTCCTCAAGCACCTCGTAGTCAAGGGACCTAGTGGAGGGCTGGTCGTCGTAGGGGTAGTACTCCTCGTCCAAACTCTTCATCTTACAACTATTAACGCCCTAAAGGTCTCTACTTTGGATCTAAGTGTGAATCCCCTATTAACACTAGATCAAAGGCCCAGGAAGCAAAGTATACGAAATATGAAAGGAACAGGTGAAGAACTGACCTTTGAATATTTGAAGAAACAGAAGAACACTTGAACAAACACCTCAGAGACTCTCTCTCTAGAAATTTCAGCAGCACTTCGTGGGCACAGATTGCAAATGAGGTTACCGCGTCGGAAGGGGAGGGGTATTTATAGACCTCCTCTCCAACGGTCACTACACGTGGCACCATATCAGTGGCCACCTCAGCGGTCACCTTCCCAACAGCCAATGAGGTGCCACCCCTTCGGAAATGGGTCGGGCTCGTGAACTAACCTACCGGCGGAGTAAAACCCTACGGATCACACGGACAACAAACGCCCACAACGGCCTATACGCTTGTCGGCTTCACAAATACCAGCAAAGCACCCACAACGGCCTATACGCTTGCCGGCTTCACAATGCCAGCAAAGCGCCCGCAACGGCCAAGGCACCCAATGCCTCCACAGTGATAAGGAGATGACAACGGCTAGGAACGTCATGAACGCCCGTAACGGCCACAGAACCAAAGGAACAAAGAACCCGCAGCCATCGGCCTTCGTAACGACCCCTGATGATAACTCTTTACAAGCGATCTGCGCACAAGGGTTCTCCCACAGGGTTACCTTGGCCAGAAAATCGCCGTAAGGGTTGGATTCAGGGGCACTACGGAGAGGCCGCTTCGGCCAGGGACTCAAGCAACTCCTTCACCCCTCACACTCTTCGGCCTGAAGCAGTGGGGGACTGGGGGACTACATCGGCCTCAATAATACAGACAAAGGAAAAATGCAAACACAAATGTAACCACAAAGCATGGCCACATCGTCCATGTATCACAACGGCGCCAAGGTTTTCGTGACTCCATCTCCGGCCAGGTACTTTGGACAACACGGCGCCTCGTCGGCCAAAGGCACATAACATCATCAGCAACGGCCAACAGGCCACCTAAGGCAAGGACATTCATCGTCCTCCGCCAACAGTTAATCATAATGGGCTCTTCGGCCAAGAACACGAAAGCCAATCAGCGACGGCCAAAAGGAGTGCGCAAGCACCCTCATCGGCCACCCAAAGGAAAGGACGCCCATCGTCCTCGAAGCAAGGTTCAACCTCAACGGCCTCATCGGCCCAAATGTAAACCTCAACCATCGACGTCCAAGAAAGGGAAAACGCGCCTTCAACGGCCATCATCGAAGCAGGACACTCACCGTCCCCAAACGAACACACCAAGGAAACAACGGCCTCCCCGTCCACAGCGAGGAGCAGGTAACGGCCAAGCCCAGAACAAGATCACCAAAATGGAGACAGCGCCAACGCCGCAACAGCTAACGACCTGGGAGTGCCCGCATCGGCCAAAAGCACCAAAGCGCGGGAATCTACTCTCCTTCACTTCGTCTACGTCTCAGCTTAGAGAGTGGGGGACTCCTGATGGAGTATATGGGTCTGAGCCCCAGGACCCACATACTCAGAAGAACAGAAAGCACAAGACACTGAGTGGTGCCCTCGTCGGCCAAGGGACCCCCGTCGGCCGGAAAGGTACCAACTCAGAATATGGTCCTGAAGCCAAGGAACCCGGGTGCCCTCGTCGGCCGTGCCCTCGTCGGCCACGAAGACCTCACAGAACCGGATTTTACACGTACTCATTTGTACAGCCCATTAGTGGCTTTGTATTCGGCCCAGTAGCGGTCCAGTTGTAAATGGGCCTCCCAAGCCCAAGGCTTGGGAGCCCAGACCGTATTTTCCCTATAAATACTTCCTCTGGAGGTAGTTATCAGGGTTACAAAATCATTCTATTGAAGCATATTATTGCACTTCTCTCTCTAGCTCTCACTTCTCTCTAGATATACTCTATCACCAAGTATATTGCCAAATCAAAGGAACATCAATACTTTCAAAGAGATGGCCAAACATAGGAGTTAAATATAATGAAATTGCAAGAAATGGGAGTTCGTGATTTAATTTCCCTACATAGAAATAATATATTGTATATGGACAAAAATACCCATATATATTTAGTGTTTAGGGTTTAGGGTTGTGGCTTCCAGCGACAGCCCAGTGACCGAAAAGAATGTGTTAGAAAAGAAGTTTGGAATAAATAATTTAAATTAATTTAGGGTAGCTATATATACAAACGGTATAATTGGAAAAGGAAAATACTCAATCAATTAATAACTCTTACTTAAGGAATGAATCATAGGGAAATCTTATTTTGGAACCTACTCTACTCTTATTTAGAACAATATCTTTTTTTATTCTAAAAATGTTTTCTTCGTTGACATGCACTGGATACTTTTTTTCCCATCAACGTAACGTACATACACTAGCTAGCTCCGTATAGTATACTACCTCCGTCCCCCTATTATTGTACCATTGCGATTTACGATGTTTGACCGACAATAAAGCAAACAGATCTCAGTCCGCACTCAAATTATTTTTAGAGACTACATTAAAAGCTTTACAAAGTCGCAAAAACCAGAATCAAAATTGATAAAAATTTGATACATAAAGTAAGAGATTAAGAGTGATTTGTGTTGGCCAAATGAATACGAATTGAGACAATAATAGAGGGACGGAGGGAGTATAATGGTGTGTTTGGCAATTAGCTGTTGGTTGTTGGCTGATTGTTTTAGCTGATTGAAGACAGCAGATTCTGTTGGCTGTTTTGATTAGCTAATAGAATTAGCTGTTTGTAAAATAGTGTTTGGTTAAATGCGTGTTTACAATCAGCGGATAACTTGTTAAATGACTTTTAAGGACATCCATTATATATTTTCTTATTAATATAATTAGTATAACTAATTAAACCATTTTAATCCTTTCAAAAATAAAAAAATGCTCTAACACAAATGGTAATTATTTTCAACATCGTTTTTCATGAATCGATAGATTTAATTAGTGTGATGATATTTTGATTAATAAATGGAGTTATTATTAAAATCATATCAAGAAACTAATGCTATTAAGCATATGTATACATGGGTTAAGTAAAGAAATATGTATGAATGAAGCAGGATGAATTGAATCAAATGTCTGCTCGCCGTTGTATTTCATTTCATTATTCCAAAAAATGCTTTGTATAAATTAGGAACTACCAGTAATAGAAAGAAGCACTACGAGTGGGGAGCAATTTTAAATTCTACCGATTTTCTCTAACGAGTAGGAGGCTCGTACGAAAAAGAAACGGGGGTAGCGCAGGAATAATCATAACAGTCGATCCTAAACGCTAGAGTGATTGGCGCTTCATATTTTAGCTGCTGGAGATAAAAGTCATTTAACCAAACACCCTAATTAGCTGATTGATTGGTCAAAAGGCTAAATGTTGGTCAAATCAGCCAAAAAGTGGCTGATAGGCTCCTAACAAAACACCCCCGATATATATATCATCCGGTATTTTTAAGTGCAAAGTTTTCATTTTTGAATTTGACAACGCATTGACCATTAACATATTTATTTTTTTATTAGTAAAACTTATAAAAAATTCAGATTTTGTAGATTTAAAATGAGAATAATTTATATAATAATAACTTTCAAAATTAAATTTATACTCCTTATTTTGATTAGTATATAGAGTATATAATACTCCGTACTCCGTATAATTTTGTGTACGTACGTACATACAGGTACTAAGACTTGAGCTGGACGATCCATGTTTATGGAGGAAGAGTCTTCCTCCACGACAGCTCAACCGGCTGCTGGGCTTGCCATCCTCCGTAGATGCAGTCGCTGGAGCGGAGGTGCGAGAAAAGTTCCACGAGCTTTTCTCCTGGGAAAGGCCGCGGCACCTAGTGGTGGTGATACCGGACGGAGCGGCATGCCCGGTTTGCTTGGAGGAAATAGAGAGGGAGGAGCAGAGAGTAGCAGCGTGCGGAACGTGTAAGAACCCGATTCACGAGGAGTGCTTGCAGGCATGGAGGAAGCAGAGCAAGCCGAGGAGATCCTTCAGCTGTGTGCTCTGTCGTGCACGGTGGCGAGATGTCAGGGCGGCGGACCCGGCTTTGTATCTTAACTTATCCAGTTATATATCTTAGAGACGACGGCCGGTACGGTCACGTACGTATTAATTGGCTACGGCAGTTAGCGTGCGTTGGCCGGCCTTCAGTTCAATTCACTATGCGCACACAATATAATCCATGGTGTACATATGTATGCGCTAAAAGGGAAAGTTCCCGAAATAGTATTAAAACTATTTCAAAATTCCAGAATAAGATTGTCGTGTTTTTTTTCTCAAAATAAGATTAATTACTGACATGTTTAGAAAATACTGACATATTTGAAGTCTGGTACTCCGAAAATATGACAATAATTAGTCTTATTTTGAGAATAAAAACATAGCAGTCCTATTTTAAAGTGTTTTAGTCCTCGTAGTAAAACTCATTGAATTTCGATTTTATAATACGATGACTAAAAAAACTCAATTGCTATATCGTGGGAGCGGTGAAGTGTGAGCATGCTCCTTCTAAGGTTATATGTAATGTAACTCATGTGAATCCACATGTAACGTCAGGTTTATCAAAATGTAAATTACATTCGTTCAAATGTAACTTGTTGAGATGTAAATTGCTTTAATTGAAATATAACTTAGAAACAAGTCAAATGTAACTTGATAAACGTAACTTTAGCTCTTTAAAATGTAAAACGTCTTTACATACATGTAACTTTAGGCCAAAAGTACAACAGAAGTAAATACAAGTACTATCGTAGATGGATTTGATGGGATTAACAATCGACGATTTCGATATGGGAGAACAACGAGATGTAACCGACGATTTCAATATGGGAGAACAACGATGTAAGAATCTGATTTTCAAAATTGTTTCAAGCTTCTTAACGCAGGCAAACAAAGAGAAGACCAGGGCGGAAACCTACTCTTTCGACGTAGAGAAGATGTGCAGCATGGCAGAAGACTCGTCCAATTGATTTCAAATGGGGGTAGGCCATCTGCGAATTGAAGATCCGGAGGATGCGGGTAGAGTCGGGGACGAAGTGATGCGGAGGGGGAGGAGGATTTGTATTTTTTTTTAACAAAAACGATACCGTTTGGGATCGGTGCACCTTGAACACCGTGTGTCGATCCCACGATATAAATTGCGAAAAAAACTTGATTTACCAAAAGATGACTAATAGTCATCATACATGAGTGCTTGGTCTCAACAAAATGACTTGATTGCCCTCATATGTCTGCCCGCGCTGTTTAAACACAAAACGTCTGAACCTTCTTCTGTAACAGAAACTAAACAATATTGTAGGGGCGCGATTACTCGAGCAAGAGAGTATACTCTTTGCTTCTACACCCGTATCTCAAAGAAGATATAATATGCGATTTGTGAATATAGAGTTTGAATCAAAAGAAAGAAAGCCATGGCGAAGAACGAGGACGATAGAGTAGTGGATGCAAGGGAGATGAAGGAGACCGGTGTTTTGTGACACCGGAGCAATGGATGTAGTGAAGACGATGGAGACAGCCAGATAGGCGTTCCAATGATGGCGGAGCAATGGATGCAGCGAGAATACAAATTTAAGGCATAATTAGGGCATAAGACTATATAGTGGCCTGAGCGAATTGAAGCAATACGTAAGACAATTAATTTTTTTAAATGAATGAAAAGGGATATGAAGTAGAAGGTGAAATAGTTGGGAAATAGTTTAACGCGTAACATATAAAAAACGGGAGAGGATAAAAATTGATTACTGACGGATAGTATATCTGGGGGGATACCGCTGAAGGTTATCTAGAGAGAAGTCAGAACAAGTAAGAGAGAGAGAGTAGTGTATATTAAGTGAGTTCGAAGTGTTCGGATCTGGTATCAGATCCTTTACAATGAAGAATTGGCTTGTTATTTATAGCAACCATAAATGCTAGGAGTAATTAATGCGGTTACACGTGTCAAGCAATCAATGGTGGAGGGTCAACTCAACCAAGGTGGCGCCGACATAGCATGTGGCATCACATTTAATGCGGTGGTTGGACGTGACATTGCGTTTAATGCGGCGATCCAGAACGTGCAGGGAGGAGATCTTGTCGGGGTAGTGCCGAAGGCCGTACGTACCTCAGAGGCCTTCATGTTCCGAAGACCGTACGTAGTCGGGGACCGTCATGTGCTAAAGGTCGTACGACCCCGAGTGCAGTCATGTGTCGAAGGCCGTACGTACCAGGGAGCCGTCATGTGCTGAAGGTCGTATGTACCCTGGGGTCTTCATGTGTCGAAGCCCGTACGTCCCTGAGGTCAGTCATGTGTCGAAGGTCGTACGTCCCCGAGGGAAGTCATGTGCCAGAGGCCGTACGTACCAGGGGGCCGTCATGTGCTGAAGGCTTTAAATGTCGAGGGCTCGTATTTTTAGCCTTGTTCCTCAGTGATGTTTCTGGACCAGGTGTAACTGTTCCCCGAATATGGAGCCTTGGGGCATGGGGCCGAAGGCAACACCTTGTGTAGTATGGGCTGCCCGGAGTCTTGTTTGCTTTGTTTGGGCCACTTGGGCCTGTTCATAATAATGGAAGTATGTGGGTCGGGGGTTCCTAGGCCATATACTTCATCAGGAGTCCCTCACTCCTTTTGCCGAGAGCTTCTCGAGGGAAATAGGAGTAATTGTCGTGATCCCGCCGGTGGCTTCCTTACTGTAACTGAGGAATCCTAATGAGGGAAAAAAGAGTACACCAGATGCCCCCAAAATGAAGCAAAAGGGGTGAACTCTTCGGCATGGATGTGGAGCGGCAGCGGTGTCTGTCTGTTGAGGGGACGCTCGTCTGAAGATGGGGGACGACGCTGATGAGCCGGTCCGAATATGAGGATGAGGCGATGGATGCTCGTATGAAGATGAGGGACGGCGCTGATAAGCTAGTCCGAATACGAGGACGAGGCGACGGACGCCTGTCTGATCATGAGGACGAGGCGATGGATGCCTGTTTGAACATGAGGATGAAGTGTATATTAAGTGAGTTCGAAGTGTTTGGATCTGGGATCAGATCCTTTACAATGAAGAATTGGCTTGCTATTTATAGCAGCCATAAATGCAAGGAGTAATTAATGCGGTTACACGTGTCAAGCAATCAACGGTGGAGGGTCAACTCAACTAGGGTGGCACCGACATAGCATGTGACATCACATTTAATGCGGTGGTTGGACGTGACATTGCGTTTAATGCGGCGATCCAGAATGTGTAGGGAGGAGATCTTGTCGGGGTAGTGCCGAAGGCCGTACGTACCCTGGAGGCCTTCATGTGTCGAAGGCCGTACGTAGCCGGGGACCGTCATGTGCTGAAGGCCGTACGTCCTCGAGTGCAATCATGTGTCGAAGGCCGTAAGTATCCAGGGGCGTCATGTGCTGAAGGTCGTACGTACCCCGAGGTCTTCTTGTGCCAAAGCCCGTACGTCCCCGAGGGCAGTCATGTGTCGAAGGCCGTACGTCCCCGAGGGCAGTCATGTGCCGAAGGCCGTACGTCCCTGAGCGCAGTTATGTGCCGGAGGCCGTACGTACCAGGGGGCGTCATGTGTTGAAGGTTGTAAATGCCGAGGGCTCGTATTTTTAGCCTTGTTCCCTAGTGATGTTTCTGGACCAGGTGTAACTGTTTCCCAAATATGGAGCCTTCGGGCATGGGGCCGAAGGCAACACCTTGTGTAGTATGGGCTGCCCGGAGTCTTGTTTGATGTACTTGGGCCACTTGGGTCTGTTGGGCCTGTTCGTAGTAGTGGAAGTATGTGGGGCGGGGTTCCTGGGCCATATACTCCATCAATTACGTAGTAACATTGGTCATTAAAAACGTACACTAGAACGACAACAATTTTGTTACTAAATTTATTAAATAACTTTAAAGACATAAAAAATAATAGGGATAAAACTACAAAAAAAGAAGGGGGTTTCCTTGAATATTACTAATAAAATGTGTCATTTGTTTAGGGATTGAAGCAGAACTTACTTAGCATCGGTCAATTTTGTGACAGTGGAATGGAAGTCAGATTCCATGCTAAGCAATGTTGTGTGATGGATATGAGTGGGAAACCATTGTTAAAGTGTCAGAGGAGAACAAATCTTTACACTATTGATCTAAAATTTGTACGATCCACCATATCCATCTGTCTCATATCCAAAGCTTCTGAAAAATAAAACAATCTATGGCAAAGACGTGTCTCACACTTGAATCTACCAGCAATCAGTTCCCTCTCATCAAAGAAGCTTGTCAAAGGACTTCTTGTTTTGAAGAACTCTACCAACCATCATTGTTCTGCCCGTCATTTGGGAAAGATGAGGAGAGCATAACACAAGTCAAAACAATTTCCCTCCTCATCTCGTCCCCTGAAGCTACTACATATGGGTTTGTGTGGTCTGATGCGCGTGCACAACATAAATAGACGCAAATATACTCTCGTCATTGTTGATGATTACTCACACTACACATGGACCAAGTTTTTGGGATCCAAGGATGAATCTGCAAGTCTAATCATGACGTTCATCAGAACCATATAGAACTGTCTATAGCAGAATGTGAAGATCACCAGAACTGACAACGGGACTGAGTTCGGGGGGCGTGGAGTAATCACGGATGAAACTCGCTTTATTGAGCTTCAAACCCTTTATGTGCCTATCGGGTTTCGAACTCGAGACCTCCCACTAGGCACGGTAAGCTCGCAACCAGCTGGGTGGAATGCTTGGTTCAACGGGACTGAGTTCAAAAACAAGGAACTGACTGAAATCTACGAAGCTCAAGGGATTACACAACAGTTCTCTACAGCTAAAACGTCACAACAGAACGGTGTTGTAAAAAGAAGGAACAGAACCTTGGTTGAAGCAGCCACAACTATGCTGATACAGTCAAAGCTTCCTCAATTCATGTGGGCTAAAGCTGTCAACACAGCTTGCTTCACACATAACAGAACAGTCATTAGGCGATTTGACAAGACCCCGTATGAAATAGTGTTCAAGTGACTCCCTAACATTGCCTTCTTCTGTGTCTTTGGCTGCAAATGCTACATTATGAACGACAAGGATGCTAGGGGGAAGCGTGATCCAAAAGAAAATGAGGGCATTTTCATTGGGTATTCTACTAATTCAAAAGCAATGTATATGAAGGATAGAAGAACCATCATGGAGAGCATCAATGTTAGCTTCTATGAAATGGTGGACATGGCAACTAAACACTTCCAATATGAACCAACAATTTCTGGAGATAAGAGGCTCAATCATCTTCTGGAATAGGAGAACATGCAAGTGAGACAAGATCGGATGAGCACGTGATACTAGACTCATTGTTTGAGCATTTCTACAGCCAGCCACATGCATCATCAGCTATAACCTCTGCAAATCCTCAGACCTACCTGTTGCATGTTGGCACAGTAGAAGAATCAAATACTCTTGTTCACAATGATGATGAGCACTCACATGAAGAAGCTGAACATGATCTACCTACACGACACACTGAACAACCTGAGCAATCTGGAACGCAAGAATCTCCTGAAGCACAAGAGACCCCTGAATATGCTGATCCTGATCAACCAATCATAACTCCATTGTCTCTCCCTCATGAGAGAAAATGGACGAGGATACATCCGCCGGAACTAATCATTGGTGATCCATCTAAAGGAGTCAGTACCAGAACTGCATCAGCCAATGAGTGCTTATTCTCATGTTTTTTGAGTCAGAAAGAACCAACAAAGATGAGAGAAGCACTAGCTGATCCGGACTGGATTATTTCAATGCAGGAGGAAATGAATCAATTTGAAAGATTGAAAGTCTGGACCCTGATGCCGAGGCCTTACAGAAAACCAACAAAGGCACCAAATGGGTTTTCAAGAACAAGAAGGATGAAGATGGTGTCATTATCAGAAACAAGGCCCGTCTGGTTGCAAAATATACAATAAACAAGAAGGAATCGACTACGATAAAACCTTTGCACCAGTGGCGAGAATAGAAGTCATCAGATTGTTTTTTGCACATGTTGCTCATAAAAGCTTCATCGTCTATCAAATGGATGTCAAGACTACATTCTTGAATGGAGACCTGAAAGAAGAGGTCTATGTTGCACAACCAGATGGGTTTGTTGATCCTGAACGCCCCAACCACGTTTATAAGTTGAGAAAAGCTATATATGGACTAGAACAAGCACCGAGAGCTTGGTACGAAGCATTGTCAGATTTTCTTGATGAATCGGGCTTCTCAAAGGGAAAGATTGATCCAACTCTCTTCATCAAACATCATAAGGGTGACATCATGATGTTGCAAATTTATTTGGATGACATTATCTCTGCTTCGTCGAATCCAAATTTTTGCAAGAAATTCAGCAATCTGATGCGCATCAAGTTTGAGATGAGTATGATGAGAGAGTTGAACTTCTTTCTAGGTTTCAGATCAGACAAATGCCAGATGGAATATTTATCAAACAGTCCAAATACATCCACGACGTGCTCAAAGAGATTCAAAGTGGACAACAAGTCAACGATGAAGACCCCTATGTCTCCCTCACACAAGCTCGACTGAATCGATGCTACCAATTACTGGGCTATCATCGGATCCTTGTTGTACCTCACATCTAACAGAACAGACATTATGTTTACAACATGCTTGTGCGCTCGCTTTCAAGCAAATCCAAAGGAATCTCATATGAATGTTGTAAAGAGGATATTGAGATATCTCAAAGGAACGGTCAATCTGGCCTTTGGTATCCCATTGGGGTTTGATCTTGTGGGATACTCAGATGCTGATTTCACAGACTGCAAGTTGGACAGAAAAAGTATATTCGGAGATGCTCAATTACTTGGGGATAAGATAGTGTGCTGGTCCTCAAAGAAGCAGAACTGTGTGTCCACTTCTACAGCTGAGGCAGAATATGTCATGGCTGCTAGTTGTTGTTCACAGATTTATGGATGAGGACTCAACTAAGAGACTACGGCTTCATATTCTCACACATCCCGGTCTACAATGATTCACAAAGTGAAATCGCCATCACGTGCAATCTTGTCCACCATTCAAGAACCAAGCATATCGATCTCAGATATCATTTTATAAAGGATGACGTTGAGAAGGGCACCATGGACATGTACTTTGTGTCCACAGAATTGCAACTGGCTGATATTTTCACAAAGACCATGGATGAAAAGAGATTCAACTTTTTGATCTCTAAGTCGGGGATATTGAACCTGAACCCTTGAAAACTCTGCATTGTGTGCGCGCGTGTGCGTTCATTTTTTGTCTTTTACAATTTTTCTTTTTCATTTTTTTTCAAAACTTTCATTTTTCCCATTTTGCATTTTTTAACATTTTTTTCATGCATCAATTAGGGGGGGGGCTTTTCAAATAGCATAAGTCGAGGGGGAGTTTTCAAATTTTTAAAAGTGCGCTAAAATTAAGGGGTGGGGCAAAATAGTTTAGGTTGTTTAAGTGTAAATTTTCCTAACCCTATTTATACTCCAACTTCGCGCACCACCCCCTCCACTTTCTCTTTTGCGCATCATTGCATCAAACATCCGAACTCCCTCAGAGCTAAATTGTCTCCCTCCTATTTTCACTCATAGTCATCTAAAGTCTACATTTCATACTTTTATCTCGGGATTACCCGTTTCTCCATTTCTGAATGAACGCGTACTCTAAGGAATACGATGTACTGGTTGCTTGCGCAAAACCAGATGAACGAAAGTTTTTTGACCCACGCGTGAAAGTGTGAAACTACCCTGCATGAAAGGTACCCCATGTGCGAAAGCTTTCTTGCGCGAAGGGTACCCATGCGCAAAGGGTATTCCGTGCGCTAAATAATCTAATGCGTGAATTAGACCCCATGCGCGAAATCAGATCCATGCGTGAATTAGGAATCATGCACGAAAAGGACTTTCATGCGTGAACCTAACCCTATGCACGAAAGGCCTATGCGCGAAAGGCCTGTGCACGAAAGGCCTGTGCGCGAAAGGCCTGTGCGCGAGAAGCCTGTGCGGGAACCAAGGTCACACGCGATCTGGTTTGATGCGCGAAAGTGAAACCATGCGCGAAACCAAGATACTATGCGCGAACCCCTTAGATGCGCAATACTGGACTTAGAATTTTTTTCTTCCAAAATTTGATCTAATGCTCTAATGTTTTTGTCTTTTTCGGTTCAAATGGCAGCTATCGCCCCAAATGAGACCATCTACGGGAAAGAGAACCGGTACCCCATCAAGGAGAACAATTCCTAGTTGGACTCAAAGGTCTTCTCCTGCCAGGATGATGTGATCTTGGCCATTCTGAAAGGGCACACTTTGTGGAAAGCAATGCACAAATCAGCTGAAGTGCCTGAAGTGTATCTCCAACAGTTCTAGGAAACACTTGACAAAGATAAAGATGACTCTGGTGACCAAATCCTGACTGCCACCATCGAGGACACTAAGGTCACTGTCACCAAAGAACTAATGCATCAAGTGCTCTAAATCCCAGAACAAGATGAATATGATGAACTGGCCAATGAAGAAGACATCATGGAAGATATGATCACGTTGGTCACGCTACACCAATCAAGCTCATCTACCAGGTCAAGCTGAGAAGACTACCCAGACCGTGGAGGACTCTAATGGCAACATTGAACAAATGCTTTAGTGCCAAGCATACATGCTTCGACAAATGCAACATCTACCTTCTGACCATCTTCCACAACGTGGCATTCTGCAAGAACTACGACTACGTCTCTCTGATCTGGAACGACATTGTAGAGCTGATCCGCAAAAGGAAAGGGACCAACCAAGTCAAACATCTGCCACATATGAGATGGTTCTCAATGCTGGTGCGATGTTTCAGCGGAACACTCCACTATACACTGCAGACTGACCACTTAGAACGTCGCCACTCCAGCTCTCACGTACCTACAGAAGGTCACATAGGATTCATCACTGGTGCCACTTCCACTACCAGTATCTCTACTGCAGTTAGCCAATTCAAATGATCCATCCATCAGACGCTACTGCAAGAGGAATAACATCATACTCCCTATGGCTTAGATAAACCCCCTTGAGCCTGCCCAAGGGAGTCAGTCGAGAGTAAGTGAGGGTCCTGAGAGTTCAACCCTGCCACATAGACCAGTGGCAAGCCAGTCCCATTATGAACTAGATCAACTCTGTGAGACCATATTCTGTCTGGTGATAAATTTTAAAAAACCGAGCAATCTATTCCCCCTTAGACTGTTTCACTATTTAACCGGGACCAACAATCTCAATTTTCTCTGTGTTGTAAATCCTGTGTATTGAAATGTAACTCATGTTGTTGTGAAATATAATCTCAGTTAAGGCAAGTGTAACTCTCGCACTGGAATGTAACTTGCTTTACTCCCTCTTGTGGTCACTCTGCCACCATTCATATATGATTACACATGGTATCTTTATATAATATAAAGTAACAGTGGGTGCACACTTGTTGGAGGGAAAAATCCCACCCAAAGTAAGGGTAAAAATGTAAATCCTTATCCTTGCCATCTATACTCCATCCGTATTAATGTAATATATATGCCATAATGCAAACTTTATTAACTGCCCACATAAATGCTGATTAATTGACTTTCAAATGTCACATGTAAGCATTTACGGAGTATTAATTAGGGTACAATTTTATTACTTAACATAAATAAAATTGGTTTTAATATTGACTTTGAGACGGTATAAAGGTACGACTTAAATAGAAATTTGAGCCAGTGTAAAGTATCTTGATGTTTTTAAAGGATATACGTAGTATACTAATAGCATCCGTATTCTTACATTAATTTAAAATAAAACAGAAAAATACCAGCCATAAATAGAGCATTGTCGTATAATTTCTCTCTCACTGCTATTCACTTAAGCTCAACCCGAATGTATGTGGTAATAAAAAGAAAGTAAATAATGGTAATTGTTAGGGAATATCATCCCGACCTGTTACTGTTCAGAGACCCAAGGCTCCACCCGGTATGGACCCCGGTTGGCGAGGCCCATTTGGACCCCTCAGGCCCATTTAGAACCATTTAGGACCACTCGGCCTACTTGGGGTGGTTTCGGCACGTTAAGCCCATTAGGCTAGAAAGCCATCTCACCTCCCTTCTATAAATAGGAAGGCATGACTTCCATATTACGGATCTTTTTTTGGCTCTTCTCTTTCTTTCTTTAGAAATAGTTTCAACCCTCATTAATGGAATTCCAAGTGATTTGTATTATGTAATTGGTGAGGAGGGCATATTAATGAGAAAGAGCGGACTCGGACGTTAGCCTAAAAAGTCTCGTGGTTTTCTCTCTTTTCGGGTTTCCACGTAAAAATTGCTAGTTCATACACTTTATATTTATTATTTACTTTAATACCGAATTCACCGTCCTTAATATCCAAAGTTTATGTTGGACTTTCGGATCTGCGGGACTAAACCTCAACATTGGTGCCATCTGTGGGAATCTTGTTCAAAAAGATTCTACGTGTTCTTGATTTTTACGAAGAAAAAATGATATGAGATCAACTGATTCCAGCAAAACTAACTAGCAGTGATGTTCCAGGCTTTCCAAAACTCGCCGGAAGAGGGGTGCACGAGCACCAACTTTTTTACAGGCACCGATGCTTGGATGAGGATACACCGTGACCCTCATCAAGGAAGATGGGAAGTGGGAGGCCTGACAACACCACGTGGGGATGCGACAGATTTTGGCATATTTGAAAGATTCATGGTTATCCAAAAAGTAAACTCTTGCTTCCCGAATGAGGATTCCGCGAACGACACCCGGAAGGACCCCAAGATGCCACTGGTTACTATTTCCGGCAGGACCCCGAGCCTAGAATGGGAATCCCCCAAAGTGCTCGACCGGGCTGTGACAGGCCACAACAGGAACGCAGCCGCAGAAGGAGAAATCCAGACCAGTCTAAGACGACTTCAGCAGCTTGGCGTCGTTTGAAATGGCTGCTCCCATGTCCTAAAACAAAGGTCGGGGCCGAAGTAGACCAACGGAAATTGCGATTCAGAGCAACTGGTGAAATGAAGAGAATGGTGAGTGGGACCCACACGCCACTGGTCAAACGAACAGAGGACCAGCTTCCTACTCTCACATGGGAAGCCTCACAACATAATGAGTGATTTGACACGTTCATACTTATCCAATAGACAAGCGCCGCTCCCCGAACAGGAACTCCCCGAACACCAGGCCCATATAAGTGCCGACCGAGAGCCTCAAAACTGGGACACACAACAACATTCCGTGAAGGAAACTCGGCATGTGGGCAGATTCTAAGGGAATGGGGACCTCCTACTCAACCATTTTCCACTGGATAAGTTGCAGATGTCCAAAACAGTAAGCCAGTAATTTGATCTTACAAAACCCTCCTGATCCATTCTGTGTATAGAATGTAGCAAAGGAATTACGTACAAATTTTTTTGGGGAGGATATGGATCCCGAATGGGAAATTCCCTACATTGACTGCCCCCCCAGGAGCAAACAGAGCCTGACCTGAAGTATTTCCAAGCAAGTGTATCCAATAAATTGCGCCGGTTGGTGAAGCTCGAACACCCTACACCGCTCCCGTTCAGGAGAGATCCTTCTAAACGAAACAAGTTTGATCTCGAATGATCAGTTTCAAGAGATCCCAAACCCAGCAGCACCTTTCAGTGGGTCGGGGCTCTCTAAGATACCGTCAACGTCTCATGCACCGAATGACATGCCAATCTAGCATGCGATAAGGGGGCACAGATCTGTTAGAAGACTAATGCAGAAATTATTAGTAGTATTATTATTTATCTTTGTGTCACGTTTACTTGGTAAAATAAATTAGCTACTAGAAGACCTATTCTATATGGGGCGGTTAGTAGTAGTGGTATGTTTTACGGAGTCTGTTTCTTAGTGGGTTAATCCCTTTATTTCAGCAAGTTAGTTCTCTCTTATAATGTATTTAAGAAGCATTCTGGTTTTAATAAAACACTACTCCAGTTGCTCTTCTTTTCTTTCTTTTATTGCCGTTAGTTTGTGATTCTTGCGCATCTTTTCTGTATCATCTGGTATCAGAGCCAGATTGTGGCCTAAAGTCACGATTTTTTTGCTAGCAGCACCATGTCAAATGGAGTTAATATTTCCCAACCAACAATACCAATCTTCAATGGCAACAACTATGATGTTTGGAGTACGAAGATGAAAACTCTTTTCATCTCTCAAGATTTATGGGATTTGGTGGAGCGAGGCTACAACATTGATGGCGTAACGGCCGAAGCATTGCGGGACATGCGAAAAAAGGATGTGAAAGCTCTCTTCTTCATCCAACAAGGAGTGGATGATGCTGTTTTTTCTTCTCGAATTTCTGCTGCAACAAAAGCTAAAGAAGCATGGGATGCTCTCATGAATGGGTATCAAGGCACAGCAAGGGTACTTGCTGTGAAGTTGCAAACACTTCGTAGGAAGTTTGAAAGCTTTAAAATGAAGGAGGGGGAAAGTATAGATGATTGTTCCAACAACCTCATGATTATAGTCAATCAAATGAGGAAATTTGGGGAAGATATTACTGACCAGAAGGTTGTAGAGAAATTGTTGCGAAGTTTGACCCAAAAGTATGACTCTGCAGTATCGGCGATTGAGGAGTCCAGAGACCTAACAGTCTTGAGAATTGATGAATTACTGGGTTCCTTACAATCTCATGAAGACAGATACAAAAGCTATGAGGAGAGCTCTTTGGAGAAGGCATTTCAGGCTAAACTGAAACTCTCAAATGATCATGAGGGTGGGAGTAGCAACGTGCATCGTGGAGGCTATTCCTCTCGTGGAAGAAGAGGGGGTAGAGGTTTCAGAGGAGGTGGACGCTCTGGTGATAGAAGTCAACAATGTCAAGGTGAAGGTGAAACTCAAATCCGTAAGTTCAGATGTTATTACTGCGACAAAATTGGTCATATTGAGAAATTTTGTCGTATCAAAGAAAGGGATGAAAAGCAAGCAAATTTTGTTGAAGAAAAGGATGAAGCTGAGGCAGAATGTTTATTTCTTGCTTGCTTTGCTGGTAATGTTTGCTCATCAGATGTATGGTACATGGATAGTGGTTGTAGCAGTCACATGACAGCAAATTTGGGAGCTTTTATCACCTTGGATAGGTCAATTAAAACAAGTGTGAAGACAGCTGATGGTACAATGCGCAAAACTGAAGGAAAGGGAGTAGTCAAGCTGCATGCTTGTGGAGATAGCTGCATCAAAGACGTGCTTTATGTTCCAGATTTGGACTCCAACCTGTTGAGTGTCGGGCAATTCCTAAGAGAAGGGTACTCATTACTCTTTGAAGATTTGTCTTGCTCTGTTTTTACAGACAGAAGCAAGGATAGGTTGCTGCTCAAGGTCACCATGGCAAAGAACAATATGTTTCCTATTTGTTCGAGTGATGAGAATCAAGCTCTTGCTGCCTCGGTAGATAATGACACTTGGATTTGGCATCACAGGTATGGTCACTTGAACTTCAATAGCTTAAAGTTGATGTCTGATCAAGATTTAGTGGATGGTCTGCCGTCCATTCAACATGAAAATGATGTATGTGAAAGTTGTGCACTGGGGAAACAACATAGAGAGTCCTTTCCGAAAGGACATGCAAGGAGAGCTACTAAACCTCTTGAGTTGGTTCATGCTGATGTTTGTGGCCCAATGCAAACACTATCTCTTGATAATAACATATACTTTCTAGTGTTCGTTGATGATTATAGCAGGATGACATGGGTGTATTTTCTTAAGCATAAATCAGATGTGCTGTTTTACTTCAAAACATTCAAATCTCTTGTGGAAAAACAAAGCGGGTATGAGTTGCAGACATTAAGAACAGATCGTGGTGGAGAATTCTTATCAAATGCTTTCACCAAATTCTGTGAAGATTATGGAGTTTGGAGGCAATTAACAGCAAGCTATACACCCCAACAAAACGGAGTCGCGGAAAGGAAGAACAGAAGTCTGGTGGAAATGGCAAAATGCATGTTGAAAGCCAAATGTGTCCCAGAGTACCTGTGGGCTGAAGCAGTGCACACGGCGGCTTATATCCTGAACAGAAGTTCAACATCAGCATTGCAGAATACTACACCATTTGAAGCATGGAATGGATGGAAGCCTAAGGTAACCCACTTTAAAGTTTTTGGATGCATCTCATATGTTCATACTCCATCACAACAACGGAGCAAACTGGACGATAACAGTGTTAAGTGCATCTTTGTGGGTTATAGTCTTAATACTAAAGGCTATCGTTTTTATGATCCAATAACTAAAAAACTCATTATTAGCCGTGATGCGTTATTTGATGAGAAAAATGCATGGAATTGGGATGAGAAACCAGGCTGTCCAGAATTTGTTCCAAATAGCGAAATAGAAACACAAGAAAACCCTGTTAATGATAATGGTCAGAGTTCGAGTTCTTTGACTTCCAGTCCACTTAACGTCACACCAACAAATTCACCCAGCTCTCACAGTAGCACATCATCAAGCAGATCTTCTACGCCTCCAAGAAAATGGAGTTCATTGCTTGATGTTTATCAAAGGACAGAAAGGAGTCTGCTTGCTCAGGTTGAAGAACCAAACTGCTTTGAAGATGTTGTAGGTTCAAAGGAATGGCTCATTGCTATGGATGCAGAAATACAGTCCTTGGAAAGAAATCAAACGTGGGAGTTGGTTGAACTTCCTAAAGGCAAGAAGGTGGTTGGTCTGAAATGGGTTTATAAACTCAAACTCAAACCTGGTGGCACAATTCAGAAACACAAAGCAAGAGTGGTGGCTCGTGGATACATGCAAAAAGAAGGAATCGACTTTGAGGAAACCTTTTCCCCAGTAGCAAGGTTTGACACAATTAGAACTATTTTTGCTATTGCAGCTCACTACAAGTGGAGTGTGTATCACTTTGATGTGAAGTCAGCCTTTTTGAATGGTGTTCTGGATGAAGAAGTTTTTGTTGAGCAGCCAAAAGGGTATGAAGTCAAAGGTGAGGAAAACAAAGTCTATCGTCTCAAAAAGGCTTTGTACGGGCTGAAACAAGCTCCAAGAGCGTGGTACGAAAGAATAGACGGGCATTTCACAAAAAATAGATTTGAAAGAAGCGCAAGTGAACCAACTCTGTATGTAAAAGCAAACGCAGCTGGAGAGGTACTCATTGTTTGTCTTTATGTAGATGATTTGGTGTATACAGGTACTTGTGCTAAAATGATTGTTGAGTTTAAAAAATTGATGATTGATGAGTTTGATATGACTGACATGGGGTTGATGAGTTACTTTTTGGGGTTAGAAGTGCATCAAGGTGCTACTGGAATTTTTGTTTCTCAACGGAAGTATGTGAGGGACATTCTTGAAAAGCATAAATTGCAGGACTGCAACCCAGTGAAAACCCCTATGGTCACAAATCAAAAGTTTAGCATTCGTGATAGAGAAGAAAAGGCGGAAGCAAGTGTCTATCGTAGCCTAATTAGGAGCTTGCTGTATCTCTCTAATACTAGGCCGGACATCCTACAAGCTACAAGTCTACTGTCAAGGTTTATGCAAAGTCCAAGTATGGTGCACTATGGGGCAGCAAAACGGATTTTGCGATATCTAAAGGGAACAAGCACTTATGGTGTCTGGTATAGTGGTGATAATATGATACTGAGAGGTTTTTCAGATAGCGATTGGGCTGGCTCAGTTGATGATCGAAGGAGTACTTCCGGTTATTTGTTCAGTTTGGGTTCAAGTGCAATATCATGGAGTTCCAGGAAGCAAACTTCTACAGCTCTGTCATCTTCGGAAGCTGAATACATGGCTGCAACATCAGCAGCATGCCAGCCAGTATGGTTACAAAGAATACTGAAGGATATGAAGCAAGAACAAGTTGTGACTACAATCTTCTGTGATAATCAGTCCACTATTGCCATGTCCAAGAATCCTATTTTTCATAGTAGAACAAGGCACATTGAGACACGCCACCATTTCATCAGAGAATTAGTTGCAAAAGGAAGTATTGAAATTGCATACTGCAACACGGATGAGCAGCAAGCTGATATATTCACAAAGCCTCACCCGTTGGCCAAATTTGAGAACTTCAGGCACTTGATTGGAGTTATGGATTTCTGCATTACGGGGGTCTGTTAGAAGACTAATGCAGAAATTATTAGTAGTATTATTATTTATCTTTGTGTCACGTTTACTTGGTAAAATAAATTAGCTACTAGAAGACCTATTCTATATGGGGCGGTTAGTAGTAGTGGTATGTTTTACGGAGTCTGTTTCTTAGTGGGTTAATCCCTTTATTTCAGCAAGTTAGTTCTCTCTTATAATGTATTTAAGAAGCATTCTGGTTTTAATAAAACACTACTCCAGTTGCTCTTCTTTTCTTTCTTTTATTGCCGTTAGTTTGTGATTCTTGCGCATCTTTTCTGTATCAAGATCACCATACGACATCCTCCGGCCGGTAAGGGCAGTATGTTTCGCCACCTGGCTTTCCCATCGCTTCAAACAGTCCGGCCCAATACAACTATGGACGGAGATCATCCTTTCACCGATTGATGCCTTTCAGTCAAACAGGGACGAACGGGAGTGACGGATCGAGGTTTTTGATACCTTATACCGTCGGTCAAATCGACGGTCAGCGTAATCCCCTGCTCATATTTTGTAACACCGCCCCCAAGTAATTGTACCTTATCAAATTATGTATCGAACCCTGAGAAATGAATAAAAGCATGTTTACGTAGTTGTAAATTTTTATCATTTCTTTTACGTGAATAGTAAAATTCGTGTGGGGCCCACACCGGACGTGGGGCCGCCCGATATTATCGGGACCACATATTATATTAATCTTGGACTAGATAATATGTATATGGTGGTGGATATCCTAATTGGGCCATGGCAATGGCATAGGGTTGACCAGTTGGTCAAACGGGGCCAAATTATCGGTATCGGCAATTTATCAGATAACAGCCCAAAAAGGGATTTCAGAGACTTCTAAATTAAAGTTGGGGAATGCATAT